GATTTGAGTGGATTCAGCTCCTTAGTTCCTTTCTGACTTTTAGAAGATGGACTTGAGATTTACAGTCTCAGGTGGAGCAAGGACTGAGGGACCTACAGTTTGTAGGAGCCTACTCCATGGGTTCCCAGCATTTTAGGTGGAGGGGTAGGGCTTTCACCAGCCCAAGTGATCTACTTTGTTAGGAAATCCTTGCTACGTGGCTGACCTACAATCTGGTTACTGCTGTATTTTATTTCTCACTGTACCATCAACAAATTATGTATTCAGTGCAGCAGCCCTGGCCACCTTTCCACTCTTGGGGTACTCTGAAACTTTTTTAGGAGAAAGAAGTGTATGGAAGTTGAGGTTATTTCCCAAAAGGAATAATTTCTTTCCCAGAGCTATATTATAATAATTACAAACTGAAAACCACATTGTGTTTCTGATTCCTCCCCTTAGAATTTGTATTCATCCCTTTTGTTGATATAACCATACTTCATGGTCTAGTTCAAAGCTCAGTTCCTTGGCCCAGGGTCATCTTCCTCTTTCGAAATCCCAAAACAGAGTGAGCCTTTTTCTTGGTGCTTATTGCCTGTGGCCTTGGGTTTAGTTTAACTCTGGATGTGTGTTTTTGCCACCGATCTAGGTCCTGGATTGTGTGTGGTTTTCTCTGAGTCCTCTTCTAACATATGAGACTCTAGTGCTGTGCTGTCCAATACAGTGGTCACATGTGGCTCACTTGAGTTGAGATGTGCTATAGGAGTAAAAAATACACAATGGATTTCAAAGACTTAGTACAAAAAGGAATACAAAATATCTCATTAATAGTGTTGAAATGATAGTATTTAGGATACATTAGGAGACAAAATGTGTTTTTAAAATTAATTTCACCTCTTTTTATTTTTCTACTGTTGCTTTAAAAAGTTCAAATTCCATACATGGCTTGCGTGTGTGATTCAGTGTACAATGCAGCACTAGAAGATACTTGGTAAATGGTGAAGGAATGGCAATGGTCAATTATTCACTTTTCTCTTTTATTAACACAAGACCTAAATATAATGTTACAAACATATTTGAAAATCTTAAGTATTGCGTTCTTCCTCCACGCTGACTTTAACTGCCAACAAAAATCAAACTCTGTTGTCTCTTCCCAAATTACCCTGAAGGGCTGAAGGAAGCAATGTCATCACCTTCTCTTTGACTTCCTGAAAAGCAGGAACTCACTCTTTTCATTTTCCTAATTCACCTGTGATCATAACAAAACACTTTTTCTTTTTCTTTTTCTTTTTGAGTTGGAGTCTCACTCTGTCGCCCAGACTGGAATGCAGTGGCCGAGCCTCGTTCTGCTGGGCTCTGGCGATCCTTCCGCCTCAGCCTTCCAAGTAGCTGGAACTACAGGCGTGCACTACCACACTCGGCTAATTTTTTGATTTATTGTAGAGATGACGTCTCGCCAAGTTGCCCAGGCGTGTCTCGAACCCCGCGGGCTCAAGCAATCCACTCACCTCAGCCTCCCAAAGCGCAGGATTACAGGCTGACCCACCGAGCCCAGCTACAAAACACTTTTTAAATTAGAGTTTTCACTTTCCTTCCCCTTATTGGCTGAAAATTGCATCATTCAGCCTGACTTGCAGATGCTAGTAACAAAGAGTTTTCAAAATCCCATCTTAATCCTCCTTTCTTTTTTGGTTCCCCACTTTGGTTTGTAGGATTATTTGTTCTCTCTAACATACAGGTTTTTACCTTCTTGAGCAGAAAGTGTCAGTGTTGTGCCAAAAATATTGCCGGACCACTACAGAGAAGCTCTTTTATGAGCCCTGTCTGCTACCTAAAATGGATAGAGTTGTTCACCTTCCAAAGCCCCTTGCTGCCTCTGCCTTCCTTAGGCCATTCTTCTGTGCTGACTGCCAACTCTGCTACCTAACAGTCCAGTTCAGGATTTTCAGTTCAGTCAAGATTAATCTCCCAAACAGAGGGTAGTGATAGCAATGGTGGCTCCCAAACACCAGTATTGACAGTGGTAATAATGGCTTTCAGATGCCAATACATAGGCACCTGTAAGTTCAAGGGAGGTTTTCACTAATGGCAAAATGAACGTAAAGTCAATGATAGAGTGGAGTGTGTGTGTGTGTGTGTGTGTGTGTGTGTGTGTGTGTCCATGTGTCCCACTATCTTCTCACTGCTTAACCTGAAGCATTATACGACATCTCTGAGAGTAGTTTTTTAAAATTTAATTTGTCTCTTGAAACTCATCCAGGGCTGAGGAATAATACATGACTTATCATCTTGAAAGCCATGAGTATGATTACAAAGAGTCAAACACATAAATGTGTCATGGTTTGCAGATGTGACTTGATGGTCACTTAGTTATACTTTGCCCTAATTGTTATTGGTGAACTACGAGGCTTTTGTGATTTGAGTCCATGTAAATAGAATCTATAAGTATGACCTGGTTTTAAGGATGAGGGTAAAATAATTCTCTCTAAACTTTTAAATACTAAATGATCAGAAATGTTATGTTTTCATCTGACAAAATTCATAAAACTACGTAATCTGCAAATTATTAACAAAAGCACATTGATGGCTGGGCTCAGTGGCTCAGCCTGTAATACCAGCACTCTGGGAGGCCGAGGTGAGTGGATTGCCTGAGCCCACGGGTTCAAGACCCGCCTGGGCAACTTGGCGAGTCCTCATCTCTACAATAAATCAAAAAATTAGTGGGGTGTGGTGTCGCGCGCCTGTAGGTCCAGCTACTTGGAAGGCTGAAGCGGAAGGATCGCCAGAGCCCAGCAGGTCAAGGCTGCAGTGGCTGGGAGCGTACCACTGCACTCCAGTCTGGGCGACAGAGTGAGACTCCAACTCAAAAAAAAAAAAAAAAAAAAAAAGCACATTGATGTTTACCAATATTTTGATTTCTAGAAAAAAATTAAGATACTGATGGCAATCCTTTTCAGTTGACTTTTCAGTTAGGAAGAATGTTGGACTGACTTTGTCCTTAGTCCTGATGTCGATTAGCTATCCAGTCTTGGTCAAATCACGTGATCTTTCTGAATTTCAGTTTCAACATTTTATATTGAGATATTTTGACCATTTTTGGAAAACTTCCAGAATTTCAGCTCTATAATCTTTTGTCTTTTATCTCTAACATCAAAATATTTTTCTCTAAGTAAGCAGCAGATGGCAGTGTGAAAGTAGAAAATTTAAAAAAAAAAAAGAATAGCTTCCAATTTGCTGTTTCATCTATAAAAGAATTCCTGCTCATTTCTTCTTAATTTTTAAATTTTTTTCAAAAAATTATGTGCTAGACAAAAATGATGGAAGAATTTATCACATAATTGGTAGCAATGCTATATATTTTATAAAACAGTGGTTTTAGAATTACATGCATGAAAATTATTACCCCTCATTTCTGACCCCAGGCTTCCAAGCTCTGGGGTTTCCTTGTGATTAACATGCATTAAAGAGCAGAGATTAAAGTTCTATTTTGAGGATGAAACTTGAAACTTTTCAAGTATGCCAGTAATGGCCTCTGTGTGTTTTGATCCCATTGTGCTGTTAAATTTGTGAACACTGATTCGCAATGTCAATGCAGTTTGGGAACAACAGAGAAGGGTCATGTCTTATGCTGTCAGACATCCATTTGTGAAATCTGACTCTTTTAACTCTTTCTATTTTTGAAGTATCTAAGTATTTCTCATTGTGTATACAGACAGTGCCACTATTGGATGATACATTTGGTCTTTCAAATGGATTTTTCTTTCAAAGCATTCCCTCTGTTTGTTATAGAAATATATCAGTCTGCTCTTCTGCACTGGTTCATAGAAGAAAGCCTGAAAGTGGGAGGGGCCAATTCATGGTCAGAGACGGATATGGGAAAGCCAAAGGCATTGGGAGCTATGTGGTATCTCCGTGACAATAATTAAGACTACTTAAATACTTGTTTAAGAGCTTCTCTTGGTATTGGGAAGAATGTTGGGCATAGGATCCTTGCATACTGGCTCTAGCATTTACTAACAGTGAGACTGTGGATGGATTCCATCATTTCTCTGAGGTTGCTTTAAAAAGAAGTACAAAAGCTCTCTGAGTTTCAGTTTCCTTCCATGTAAAATGAGAACATTGGGCAGAATAACCCTTAATATCCTTTTATTTCTATTATGCTAAGCTCTGCAGTTCTGGGTGCTAGTGGGAATGAATTTCATTATCACTTAAATTCTATGATACGAGCAGTTGCCCATTGATGCATAGAACAACTCCAGGTAATGGTCACTTTTGTCTGTCATCCAAAAGGACACAGTAACACTATGAAGTGAATACCATTAATTTTCAGATGAGGCTGGGCTCGGTGGCACAGCCTGTAATCCCAGCACTTTGGGAGGCTGAGGCGAGTGGATTGACTGAGCCTGCGGGCTCAAGACCAGCCCGGGCAACTTAGTGAGCCTTGTCTCTACAATAAACAAAAAATCAGCTGGGCGTGGTAGCGCGCACCTGTAGTTCTGGCTACGGGGAAGGCCGAGGTGGAAGGATCGCCAGAGCCCAGCAGGTGGACGCTGGGGTGGCTGTGAGCATGCACTCCAGCCTGGGCGACGGAGTGAGACTCCAACTCAAAAAAAAAAAAAAAAGAAAGAAAAATTTTCAGATGGAGAAACGAAGGCACAAAAAGTTCAAATAAGCTGCCTAAAAGCAAGCAGCTAGCAAGTAGTATGGCTAGTATTTATAAAGTCTGACTCCAGACCCCCCATTTCTTAACTATGTGATCTTATCATCCTTTAATTTCATTATCAAAAAAAATGGAACTAATAATAGTATCTACCTTCCAAGGCTGCAGTAAGATTAAAATGAGATGAGACTGTTTAAGTGAGATGCCTCCCATAATGTCTGTATATGATAAATCTTCAATAGATGTTTGTTTTTGTTATTGTTCTATGATGGAATCATTTTGATTTTCTGATGCATGGATTATATGATTGTGAAAAAGAAGTTACTGTTAAATAAATGAAAGCTTTTTTTTCTTTTTTTTAAAGGTCCTGTCTGCAGTCTCTGTGTCTCATCTTTTGGAGCAAGGCCTGTCACAATCTTCAGTGGCTTCATGGTGGCTGGAGGCCTGATGTTGAGCAGTTTTGCTCCCAATATCTATTTTCTGTTTTTTTCTTATGGCATTGTTGTAGGTAAGGAACCTGTTCACTGTGACTTTTCTAACCTTTGAGGGTTATGCATCATTTCACTAGTCTAATGTTTATGATTCAGTTAACGTAAAAGAGTGAAAATGCTCACTAATAATGTACTTTCAATGACCACTTCTCCAAAAATTGTTGCTTTAGTTAAAAAAAAAAAAAAATTCACCCAGTGAATCAGTGTTTGAAAGGATAAACAAATGATAATGTGTCTGTCTCCTTGCAAGGCACAGGAAGGTTTTTCATCTCAGCCTTTGTCTCTAGATATAGCACAAAAAGGAAAAGTAAGAGGAAAGAAGATAAAACTTAGACGTCACGGACATCTATCACTTCTCACTGACTTAGGAAGGGCTCTCTTTTCCATTGGACAGTCAAATAGGGCTCTTTTGAGCTGTTTGTATTCACAACCAACTGTTTATGTTCCATGACATTTGTTCCCAGGGCCAAAATCAAAAGTCACAGCATAAGTAAAAGGTCTTTTTTTTAAAGCACTTATTATTATTAAGACAATACATGAATAAAGAAAACTGAGTGGTGGAGATGACGGATATGAGTTACAGGAGAGGAGAGCTTGAAGGGCTTAGGGCACCAGAGCACTGATGGTTTGGGGATAGCCTTTTGATGTATTATACTAATTGTGTTCAATGTCAAAAGTCTCCAGACTCAGGATTTCTAGGAGCTGTTGGTAGGGACTTAGACAAAGATGACTTCCAGCTTTCAAGTGTTTTCTTAATATCTGAAAAGACCTAATTGTGTTGACTACTAATATTCCTCTTTTCTACATGGGAGTATGTTCCCCAATAATAAATAATATAAATTATAGCAGGTGATATTCACTAAGGAGATATCATGTGTTAAAGACCATGCTGAATACTTTATATGATCTCATTTCATCTTCACAAGAGCCCGTGTTACAGAGAGGGGAAATAAAGCTCGAAGAAGTGCAAAAATTACTAACTAAAGTCACAGAGCTGGGAGCCTTGGGGGCTATGTCCGCTCAGTCTGATACCAGAACCTGACCTCTTTTACATTTTTGTAATAATTCTTGGTGGTTTTCGAGCTCTCAAAGTTCATTTTAAATTTAACTACATAACCTATTACTACTCAGATCTTAATCTAAATAAACAGGTCACTTGTTAGGTATTTGAAGGCATGTAGTATATGTTTTATATTTTCTATTTCCTGTAGTGCTTAATGCAGTTTTAAACCTGTGGCTTCAAATAAATTAATCTCTGTGAAAAATTTGAGAATCTTCATTGAGTAATAATTTTGCATTCTTGTCTAAAATCATAAAAATTAATATGTAAATATCTATGCTTATGTATGAACACTGGATTATTCCTTTTTGGACAAACCTCTTTGTATAGAAAATGAAATCATTATACTATGAGCATGATTTGGGTATTTTTCTCAAACTCTGGACTAGCCATTTAACATTTCATGGGATTTTACTCTTATACATGGTTAATCTAGGTAGCCTTTGTGAATACATATCCAAAGTTGTCACTGACTTGAAAATAGATTAAAAAGTGAGTATCGTAGCATTTGCATTATCTATAGCCAAAAATGAATTTTTAAAAGAAGAAAATTAGCTTACATTGTCCATGATTTATATACATTTGATTGTTAATATAAGTAGTTACATATGAAGAGTGAAAATACTCACTAATAATGGAAGACTATCTAAGGATATACAGCAATAAAAAGGCAAATTAACTAACCTATATAGCTAAATTTCAAAATTTCTGTAGCAATGGAGAGAGCTTTACCTGTGAAGTTGATTTTGATTTAGCTTATGTTGTTGGAACCTTTCAATAAGTAACCCTGCTGCCCCGTTCCCTACTCCACCTCCCATGATCTTGTAGTAGTCTGTTTAGATGGGATTTGATATTAGTTTGGGTTTATTCTCTCAGTGGCTGCTGCTGCTGGTGGAATTATAGGGCTTTCACTTGGCTTTCCCCACGATGATAACGCTTCTCCATTGGCCAAGGAGCCAAAGAGCAGTGCTGGGAGTTATACCAACTTTTGTGTACATGTGCTGCTCCAATTAAATATCATGGACTGGAGAACTAACTGGGCCAAGTGGACCCACTGTGATCCAGAGTTAGGCCATAATCTCATATACCTGTCCTCATATAAACCCACTCTGAGGGGAGGCCTTGTAAACTATTCAGATCTCTAACAGCAGTGCTCAAAATCTATTGTACTTCCGCATGTACAATTACCTAAATAAATGGCCATAGTTCTCTTTGGGGAAAGACTCAACTTTTCATTTCATATACATTTGTCATTGTGTTTGTTGCAGTGTCATTTCTCCTAGAGTCTTGGCTTCTCCTTCAGTTAGTAGATTCTGCATCAGAAGACAGGTCTAAAGATTATATCTGGCTCTGATGTGGCAATAGGTTCTGAATCTCAGCAACTAGGAGGAAACTGTCAGCTCATGGAGAGAGCACTGGTCTTCAGGTTAGGACATACACGTTCTGTGAACTCGAGCAAGCCCCTTATCTCCATAGATGACTGTACCCTCATCTATGAAGGTAGGCTAAGAAATCTACATCCCATGGGTTTTGTGAGGATGAAATGAAGTCAAGCAAGATAGAAATAAAAGTTAAATAAAGAGTTGAGTTGTATCTCAGTTAATTAAAAAGTCTCTCACTCTGGTAATTATTGGGGACATATGAGCTACTCCTTGCTGGCAAATTATTAACATTTACCATGATAGTTGATTTCTTTGTGGTTTCATTTCTACGGTACAGGACTTATAGAATGTAGTATTAAATAAATGGGATAATAATGAACAATGACAATTTTATTCTGTCACTATTTGAACATAGAGTATTCAGTTGAAAAGGAAGTGACAGGGAATTATTGCACGGTCTAAACCCATCTCATTCCTGTATTATGAGCTCTTTAGGAAAAAAAAAACAAGAAGGATTCAGTCCAGTGGTTACTTCCACTGAGTTGCAGTTCTGTGCAGAATCATATCCTAAGGACTTTTCATTTGCCTGGAATAAACTATATAGCCTCTTAACATAGACAGTATGGCAAAGGGAGAGACCAAGCACTAACGGACAGGTTAGGGTTGAACCATGTGAATTAACCTTCTCATCCACTCACCAGCTGTGTGACTATAAACATATTTTTTAACTCCCCATTTTGAAACTGAGCATAATAATAGCTTTCATTTCATAGGCGTTTGTAGAGACAAATAACATAATGCAGTGAATGTTAGTTAGCATAACTATTGTTATTAATTTTGTGACCTTGAAAAATTATTCAGCCTCTCTGAGCTTCCATTTTTATTTTTTTTAAAATGGAACTAATATAACTTTACAGAGATATCGTGATATTCATGAGACAATATACATAAAGAAGCACACAGAGATGGTTAATGCATATTTGTTCCTTTCTCCTTAAATTACTTCTTGACCTTTCAATTTAAGACTGCAGCAGCAATTTTTGGCTACTGAAGAAGCTATATTGAATCAGAAGTATGTGTGTAAAAGATTAAACTACATAGAAAAAGAAAGTCATATTGGATGTGTAATTACAATCTAAAATATCAAATGAACACTAAAAGGTATTAATTGGTATAATTATGTGTCATAGTTTAACTGACATTTCCAAAAATATCATCTTGACAATGTGATGCTATTTTTTTTTTTGAGTGGGAGTTTCACTTTGTAACCCAGGCTGGAGGGCAGTGGCATGCTCCTAGCCACTGCAGCCTCAACCTGCTGGGCTCAGGCGATCCTTCCACCTCAGCCTTCCAAGTAACTGGAACTACAGGCATGCGCCACCATGCCTGACTCATTTTTTGATTTATTGTAGAGATGAGGTCTCACCAAGTTGCCAGGGCTGGTCTCGAACCCGCGGCCTAGGTAATCATCCCAAAGTGCTGGGATTATAGGTGTGAACCACGGTGCCTGACCTATGATGTTGCCTTGTATAGGTTTCTAGGTATAAAATGGCAGCTTGCCAGATTTCAAGAGACTGTAAGCTACATGGCCAGATCTGGTGATTCAGACTCCTGTTGTCTCAATCACTTACTAAATCAGTAAAAAGTCAGTGTGGTGGGAAATGGAAATGGGAAAGGGAGAAGATGATGGTGCAGAAATGTGCCCCTAATGAATTGCTCCAACTTCTTTCTAATAATTTCTCTTTGCTTTTCTGGAAAGCACAACTCAAAATCAATTTCTTGCATTCTCTTTTCTTGAGACGATACTGTTACTTACCTGCCTGATTATGGTTTTCTTAATATTCCTCTCTTATTTTTGGAAAATTGAATTTTCCTTCATTTTCTTGATAATATCTGCATAGTTCACTGAGACTGGGGAGTGACAAAACTGTATTTGTGGGCAGTTTGATTCTCTTACTCTAATTATAGCTAAGGAGATAAAGACCATCTCCTGCATATTCACTTTAGCAGAAGTAGAGATTTACACCCTCCATTTTATATTGTTATGTCATTAAAGATAGTATTTTCATTCTCATGGATTTGCAGCTGTAATAAGGAATTATGATTTTCTAATACAGTCTGATGCTGTCTCTACATAATGCCATAATACTCAGGTGAATGGTGAAAAAAAAGTACCAATATAATGGCAATTTCTTAGTATTTAAAACTATATTCCAGGCCGGGCTCAGTGGCTCAGCCTGCAATCCCAGCACTTTGGGAGGCCGAGGCAAGTAGATTGCCTGAGCCCACAGGTTCGAGACTCACCTGGGCAATTTGGTGAGACCTTGTCTCTACAATAAGTCAAAAAAATTAGCCAGGCATGGTAGCACGCGACTGTAGTTCCGGTTACTTGAAAGGCTGAGGCGGAAGGATCACCAGAACCTAGCAGGTTGACGCTGGGGTGACAGTGGGCGTGCCACTGCTCTCCCATCTGGGTGACAGAGTAAGACTCCAACTAAAAAAAAAAAAGAAAAAAAAAGAACTGTATTCCAGATGCAGATACTAAAGCTACATTTCTCTTCATTTTTACAACCAT